TCTTTGTCTGCATTTAAAACTGATTTACAAACTTTACACCAATAATTTGATGTTCATCACATAAGAATGAAGAAGTTTAATCTAAGTACCCATTCTGCAGCATATCGATCAGAAAGAGTTGAGTCTTTTATAAGCAAAATGGCAGTATCTAATACTGCAAATGTTTTGGTAACATAATGTGTAAGATCAATAGCTGGTAAAATCAATCCACCGCGAGAAAGTTTTTCTAAATATTGATATTGTAGCTCACCAGATTCAACTAATAGAAAAGTTTTGCAAACACCACATTTGATCTTTTTATTAAACTTTTTCTTTCTAAACTGCATTCTTTTATATTTAGTAAATTTTCTTGCAATTTATTATTAAATAATTTAAGTAAAGATATATTACAACTCCTTTTTTTAAAATCTTCCTCCCAGATATTGACTGACTCTTTAAGTAATGTTTTCAAAACTAGTATGCATTCAGATGTCTCAAGTTCTTACAAACCAATTAAAAATCTGTCACCACTCATTTGACGATACTTTGAAAATCTTAGTTCTAATGGATCAGTTTGCAAGCGTGATACTAAAAAATAATGATACCCTTCTTGAATTAAATCATCAATAAGTGAAGCTATACATCTTAAAGTGGTCCTTAACGCTTCTGATGTTTGTTTACTTAATGTAAACGCTTCTGATGTTTGTTTACTTAATGTAAACCATTTGGCTAGTTTTCTCAAAAATAAAGGTTTCATGTCACCCATAACAGCTGCATTTCCAATACAAAAATTGTTGTTATATTTTTGATTACTCTTACTTATTGTCCACCATATATTTATCAACTTTAAAAAGCTTGAGGCATCAGTCCTATCTGGAAAATAATTTTCAATAGCTGCAGAAGTGGTAGATCAAATATTGCAAGCAGTGCCGGATCAAGGAGGGGGCTGGGGTGACTATAGTCGTGAGCCCCGCAAATTTAGGGCCCCCAAAAATTTAAGAGGACTTTTTTTTTTTTTTTAAGTCATTTTTAGGCTCTGGCCCATAAAAAGGGTTGATTTATAAGATAATTTGAAACCTTTTTTTAAATTTGACTGAAGTAATTAGTCTTTATCATATACATCATGAACTTCCATAATATTTCACCAGAATGTACATCAATAATATTATGAAACTGATCAAAATTAAAAGCAGGGAATATAAAAATAATGATACCCTTCTTGAATTAAATCATCAATAAGTGAAGCTATACATCTTAAAGTGGTCCTTAACGCTTCTGATGTTTGTTTACTTAATGTAAACTTTTGAGAGTTTGAAACTTGAGATAATTGCCAATTTTCAATCCATTTGGCTAGTTTCCTCAAAAATAAAGGTTTCATGTAACAGCTGTAACAGCATGTAACATGTAACAAGGTTTCATGTAACAGCTGCATTTCCAATACAAAAATTGTTGTTATATATATATTGAGCAGCCGTGGCGAAGTGGTTACAGTTCTGGCTCAGAACCCAGAGGTCCGAGGTTCGACGCCAGCTCTAGCCCAACAAGCGACATTGGTACGGAAAGAGGCGTGAACTTCCTGTTAAACGCTCTCCCACGGTGCTCTATGATAAGACCGTAAGGACTTCTGGGAGCACCTAAATACATACAAAAAAAAAACATTTAGATTTCAGTAAAATGTTTCATATGTTTTTGAGAAGATGGACAGCGTCAAATAATTAATATATTATACTATCTTTTTTTGTAGGATGAGTAATACTACTAACATGGTTGGTATTTTTATATTTTTGCATTAAATTTGAAAAAGCAGAAACATCAGTAGAATGTTTATCAGAAATGACACCACGAACATGTAAACCATTCTCTTGTAGAGATGTAATGCACTCATCAATATGGTCAGCTAGCCACTTACCCTCAATTTTTCCTTCTGGTATAGCTTTTACAACAAAATTAAACTTTTTTTTCAAAGTAGTAATCATGAAGGTCATTACACTTTTATATAAAATTCCCTAATTATCTACTCCTATCATTCTACCATCTTGACAGTAGCACAACATCTTTATTAATTTTATCTTGGTTGAATAAACATTTTATAGATTTTAATGGTTCTACCCCACCTTTACTAACTTTTCAAAAGACTAAATGATGGTAGAGGAAACTGTTCTAATAAGATTTTATAAGCCTGCGCTGATATCAAAGAATAAGGGAAAAAGATTTGATGAAAACTTTGGCTGATCAACTGGTTTTTTGTATTTTATTTCATTGAGTTCAGTTATTAAACCATTTGACAAACTATTTTCTTCAACGTAATTTTTTATATAGGCTGAAAAATTCTTCAATAAATTTTTTTTTCAATACACAGCCATTATTTCGAAACCATGGAGACAATGGAATATAAGATGATTTTGAAAACAATGAAATATGCATAAGTTCATCAACTACAATTGTTTCTGTAACTTCAAAAATACCTAAGTGTTGATTAATTTCTAACTTAAAAAATATCCTTCAAGACTAAAATTATTTAAATCATTTAAACAGTGAATTTTATCTTTTTCTATAATTATACTTGATTCATCCTGATTGTTTAATGGATGGCGGACAGACGATGGCTTTCTAGTTTTTGATGCAGTTGGATATACTGATGGTGGTATTTTTTAGTTAAGCAATAAATAGTTGGAACAGGATTTAAATCTAATGTTGCTCTTTTGCCAACTTTTAAATATTTTTATTCAAAATGTTTAGCACAAATAGTCGAATTCTTACTGGGCTTCGATAACTTTCGATTCGAAACAGTGGGTAGCATTTGTCATGACAAATGCTACCCTTAAATAAATTAGGATTATTTTTAGGAAATCCAAAAAGTGGATGCTTTTCAGGAATGACATCAATTTGATTCTCTCTTTTTATATCCAGTTTTACAATAAACTACAGCACATGTATTAACCATATTATAAATATTTAAATAAACAATTTTAAAAGACGCTTAAGAAAGTCTAAAAGTTACCCTTCTAATTTTTCGCTCCGAAAAGCAAGATATCCAGCAGTGTAATTATAGTAGGACATGGAGTTTGTTAGTTCTATGCCTTAGTTGCATTGAGTATTCGATAGATATAATCAATTTTTTTTATTTTTTCATTAGGTGCCCCAAGAAGACCTAACGGTCTTGTCACAGAGCACCGCGGTAGTGCATTTAACCAGGAAGTTCATGCCTCTTAACTGTGACGCGAAAATATGTCCAGAACCCTGGATCTCCTGCTTATATAAGTCAGGCGCTCTAACCACTGCGCCACGGCCGCAAGTTAAAATTTTTAATTGGAATCATAGTCACAAGAATAGATAGTCTGGAAACACGGGCCGTAACAATTGATTTTGAACTTTTATGTACTTTCGGCCCGCTGAAAGTGCAAAACAAACATTAAAGTGAATCATGGAAAGTGGAGAGTTGCAAGTTCTTTTGAGTTTGATAGAAACAGATCAGTTTGAAAGCGATTCATTTTATCAAGAAATCGAAATAGCAGCTTTAGAAGAATGTAAAGAGACTTTAAATTGTAGTGATTGCTCGAAGGTATTCAAAACAACTAGTGGTCTGAAAAGGCATATAAACTCTAAGCACAAAGAACTTGTGCCTACTGACAACCTTGTCGAGGTTGTCGGTAGTGAATCAGTTGATTTAAATAAAAATATACAATTATGTATTCAAAGTACACAATTCAAAGATCTATTGAATAACGCAAGACATAAACTGTCAACAGATGATTGTTTTTGTAATGAAGATCGAGAATGTTTTAAAAACATGGTTGTCACTGAATCTGAGTATTTACAAGTTGAATCTTTTTTTTTAAAAGAAATGCATGAATTTAAAGGCAATGCCGAAAAATTTTATTGTTCACTCCACCATAAGTATACAACTGAGTCAGTTGCGATAAAAACAATACCAAAGGAACTATATTATTTATTGTTAGCAGAATTAACAACATTATGTCTAAATTTTTTGATTACAAAAGAATCTAAACTTATTGGTGAAAATTCGAATCTAGAAATAAATCTCTCTGAAAAAGACATAAGATGCTTAGAATATATTGCAGGTTATGTATTTCAAAAACTGTACTCTAAGTTGAGAAATAAAAAAATTAACGATGGTGCAATGTCTGGACAATGGCTTGATATTATACTTTCATCAAAAACTCAAGAGGAACAAAAACTTGTAGATAGTAGAGATAGAGGTGGATTGTGGAAAATGAATACACTATTATTAAATATTTTTAGTGAATGTGAAAAAAAATTTAGAATACATACTAGCGTAAATTTTAGAAAAATTGACAGTAAAGTATTGGTTTCACAATTATTAAATAACTGTTTTGTCAAGTCCTGCTTTTATCAAATATGTGACCTTCCTGAAACAGAAATAGACAAAGAAGTTGCTAAAACTTTATTATATCATATAGTGATGCTTTTTATTCGTGTTCGTTCACATTCACACACAAAGCAAATAAAAGAAAAATTCAAAAACAAAAAAAAAATAACAAAAGCAGAATCTTTACGATCATCATTAAAAAAAATCAAATAAGATCAAAAAAAATATTTGCGATAGCTGAGATTTACAATCATATTTCCTCTCATCCGTATTTTATCAAGCTATGCAGATGTATAGAAAAACCATATTTATAAGAGTATTATAGTTCCAGTTTATAATACTTATCAAACAGCTATTTTCATAGCTACAAATTAAAATAATTACATTATTGGTTAGAACAAATACTTTTATTAATTTATTATTTTAACCAACTTATTTATTTTAATCAAATGTTGTGTTTTTTCTCTTTACAAAATAATGTATGATATTCTTTAAAATTTTAAAAGTATAGGCTTTTATCAGCAATCAGAGTTAAATTATAATAGGTTTAGGTTAAATTTGATTTTTAAATAAACTAACAGTAATTTTGGGGAAGACAAATAATATCTACTGATAAACTAATTAAAAAAATGTTTTATGAAATAAGGTTTTCCAAATAAAAAGATCATAATTCAATTAAGTTAATTTATTTTTTCTAAGTTTCTTGGGAACCGGTGTATCATCAATTACCCATTCATTAGTATGCTGCCTAACATTTCCACCAAGGGGTTGAATTGTAAATTGAGATTTTATGATATTATCATTGTATCCAGTGTCTTTAAGGTTAGGATTATCCCTACTGCAACCTATAGTTCTCTGCTTACCAAAGTAGTTCTCCAATGCGTCTTGACAAAATATTTCAGTTAATACGTATAAAAATCCTTTGCTTAGTAAGTATTGAACGCATTCAACTAAGGAGTTTACTGTTCTAGATAGACCTTCAAATGTCTGATTTGATATGAATATTTTATTAAGTTCTTTTTTAGAAAATTTTTCTGGCCTTTTTTCTATGCTTTCCCTCCAGTCTACAAAATATTTTAGAAAAGTGTTTTTTAACCAGTAAAACCTTTCATCTGAACAATCGGTATAAGGTTTCAAAAATACTTTACGATTTTTGAGGTACTCTTTAGTGTTTGTGACATTGCAGCAATCAAAAAATTTATCCATTAACAGACAGAAATTTGCTGTCTCAGAAGCTTCATCTGGCCCAAATTCAAGCAATGTATTGCCAACTGTAGCACTTAAAATTTGAACTGCTAATTTTACGTTCATAATAGAGTATGCATTTAATACTATATGGTCTCGAGTAAGTTTAGGAAAATAATTTAAATTACATTCCATATCTTCATAGTAAAACTTAGCAATATGACTTCAGAGAAGATATTTTCCATTATTCCACATATATCTTGAACAACGGTTAGATCCAGAGTTGCTCAAACAGTTTCTTGATGTTTTGATAAGATGAGGAGGATCAGAAAAAAACCATATATATCGTTCATCATCGTTCATCATCGGCATAAATATTTTTTGTGCGATATGTTATACCATTTGCTTTGTTGTCATTGTTCATATGCATTTTATAAAATGCATGATTTGGTGAAGCTCCATCGCAAGTCACAGCTATAACTTTTAATTTACATGTTCTTTCTAATATTGCAACAGCACGCCAAAATATTGGAAAAACCTGGAATGACATAATACTATCAGTAGCAAAACTTGCAAAAGCATAAGATAAGGGATTCATTGCACTTCTAATAAAAAAAAATAAAATATGTGAAGCTAAAGTATCAGTTTTTTCAAAAGTTGCCTGAGTAAGATCATCATCACCAAGATCAACAAAACCAATTAAATCACCTGTGTGCTTATCCCACACAAGGTCATTTTGAATTTTCATTTCATCAAAAGAAAGTATAATGTATTGTTCAAGTGCTGAAAAGTTTGAAACTAATTTAGCAAGCTCCTGAACATATTGACTATTAAAACCCCTTTGTGGTTTGATGTAGTTTCTATAGTCTCTTAAAGTGCGTTGAGAAGGCAAAACAAGTATACCTTTTCCACCTTTTTGTAAACGCAGAAGATCATATGCAGCTGGAGATTTTGCATACAAAGCTAAAGAGTATTTTATTACCATTGGATGGTATCGTGTTTGAGATGGATGTTCTGTTAAATATTTTAACTGTTCTGAAAGGAATAATTTCATGAAAGACGAAACTCCTCTATTTAAATTTACCTTTTCTGAGAAACTATTGATAATTTTTTGAAGATCTTGATGGATGTTTTCTCCAACTGATACTGCATTTTTTTCAATGGCTTGCCTGAGTTCCAAAATTTGCTTTTTTAAATATCTATTTTCAGATCTTTGATTTTGGAGAGTAAGAAGTAATCTTTCAGGCGCAGTATATTTAACAGGAGCTTTAATACTAGCTGGAGTTTTTAAGATTTTCTTTTTTGCATTAATGGCTTTGCTACTATTTATAGTTAATATTTTACATTCTTTACAAATACTTGACTCAATTTGTAGAATACTGCATGTAGAAGATCTGAAATACACTGTTTCATTTGTAGGACCATCATCACATTTTTCATCTTCGATTGAAAATAGTTTGCTAACGACATGTCTCTTTACAAGCAAAAAATTTTCTATTTTATTGGATGATATTCCATTGCACAGATAGAAATCACGAATGTGATTGAGAAATTGTGATATCATGGTGTATGGCACAGATCGTAAATTACTCTTATAAATTTGATGGGTGTCTGGTAAAAGCCAACCATAAGCTCGAATAGTATAAGCTAGACTCTCATCCACATGTAGCTCAATTTCTGGTATGAAATGTTTCCCATCAATAACTTTAAATAACACATAGTTTTGTGAAGTTTCAACAGTCCATGTAGTAAATGCTGCTACTTTAATTTTTTTAAGAAACTGTTCAAAATCATTATAAATTAATTTTTTATCTACTTTTTTACTACCGTGTAATGCTAAAGCCATAGCTCATTTGTCAAGTGCTGTTTTTTTACGATGCACAGTGAGATCTTCAGATAAAGTTTTTTTTGGTAAGTTTTTTGATGGAAGTGCAAATTCTTTTAATTCTTTTTTGTGTTGATCTGAAAAATAATTAAAAAGAATTTGTTAAATAGTATTTGCTTTACTGCCTGTAATTCAACCTATCATAAAATTATAATAAAAGTAATGTATACGCGTACTCAATAAATATCAACACTTATTAAGCACACTTACAGGTGTATATATCTGAATATTCAAAATGCTTTTCACATATATAAACACTATTCTTTTTGATTTGTTTTTTAAAATCAAGGGATACAACTCTATCTCTTGTGATAATTCTCAGTATTTCTTTATTCCAATTTGAGAAAAGTTCGCTTCTATTTGGGTTTGGAAGTTTAAAAATACTTACTGTATCTTCTCCTTGTTTTTTATACCTACTACTTCCACAGCCATAAACTGCGCAGTTTGCTCCAGGCATGATAAATCTAGATTCAAACAACTGATTTCAGCTCCACTCTAGTATATTAAACACGTTTAATAAACTAAATTGTAACTGAAATAATATTTTTTTTTACCTCTAGAAGTTTAAACTTATGACAAAAATTTCAGTCTCTAAAAAGTTAAACCAACGATACAACTAGAATAATGAAAAGAATTTATAAATTGTAACAAGCACGATTATTTGACGCAAAACTAAACTTATTTGAACTTTGTAACAAGAATAGATCTTTCTTGTGACTATGACCTGAACGAGTTTATTTTTATTTCTTAAATGTTTTGCACTTCAAAGGATCTGGGTTCTAGTTTTTTCGGGTACAAAGAGATAATATAATACGCTTTTGTGCGCTTCCAGACTATCTATTCTTGTGACTATGTTGGAATTGAGGTTTTCCTAAGGAAACCTTATGTGGAATTGAGGATTTCCTAAGGAAACCTTATGTTTTCGAAATTTATCGTATTAGATACCTCACCTGTAGAGTAGTAGCAGAGTAGACTTTTAGGCTTAAAATTGCTTCTGCACTACTTAGTTTCCACTTGACCAATTTTAAGTCTCTATTGACTTAAATATATAGGTACGCGTAAATCACACGCTTTTTCAAGCTTTTATAAGCTTGTTTTTTTTTAAAATGTATATTCATATTCTTTGAATACTAAAATTATGGAACTTTAATTTTGCATGGATTTCCTTGATGTAAAATTTTTTTGATATAAATTTGATTGTTGTTAAAAATTTGCTTGTTTTTAGACAAGTATATATCAAAGAAATGCTGGTTCATTTTTCCAATATATTCTCTCACCCTTAAAAACCTTTTTCTTACTAGTAGTAAGAAAAAGGTTTTTAAGGGTGAGAGAATAAGTGTTTTTAAGATAAAGGTTTTTAAGGGTGAGGTAGTAATACTACCTGCCAAATTTCATTGAAAAAAAAGCATACTCTGTCAGAGTATGCTTTTTTTTTAATGAAATTTGAAAGATGTCAAAAAAAAAAAAGATGTCAGAGTCTCTGACATCTTAATACTATACTTCAATTAGGTAAAGATTTGTTGTTGTTTGGACATCAAGTATATATCAAAGAAATGCTGGTTCATTTTTCTAATATATTTTCTCACCTTTAAAAACCTTTTTTTTTTTACTACCTGCCTAATTTCGTTGGAAAAAAAAAGCATACACAGATACCTTAACATTACACTTCAACTAGATAACTATTTTAAGCTTCTAATTTGCTTCTAAATATCTAATTGAAGTATAATGTTAATGTATCTGAGTATGCTTCAATAATGTGAGAAAAACTCGCAGTGAGGAGGAATAGAATGTACAAGTAATAAGAATAATGATGATTGATATAAATTATTTAATTGTACTAAATAGTTGAAATGTAGTTAGCAGTTGTAAAGTTATTATATTTACCATTATTTAAATATTATTTTTTTTTTATAAAAATTAATTTTTTTGTCATAAGGCCAAAAACAAAGTTTGTTTTATGGCGAATGCAAAAAGTATTTACCTGCTAATTTCTAATAGTAACAAATAGGCATTGATTCTAATACAGAGTGTAATACATTTTATATAAATAGACAAATTTTTTTATTATTTACAAAAAATAGTTTTTTACTGAATGAAAATAATTTCAAGTTTTTTTTTTTTTTAGATAAAAGAAAGGAAATACTTGGTAGGATTTTTATTTTTGTAATAAATGCTGTGTTTATTTATATATATATATATATATATATATATATATATATATATATATATATATATATATATATATATATATATATATATATATATATATATATATATATATATATATATATATATATATATATATATATATGTGTGTGATAAATTGTGATTGGGTTTAAATAGTTTAATAGTTATAGTTATAGTTATATTAATAGTAAATAGTTAAAATAGTTACTTTCTATTCATTTAGTTGCTGGAGAGCATTTACTGAATCTCTGTATTTTTTTTCTTTCTTTGTTTAAAGAAAAATTTTAAATTTTTGAACATTCATTTAATTTTTTATATATTTTTTATATATTTTTTGTATATTTTAAATATAGGCTTGTTTTTTTAAATATAGGAGTGATTTCTTGGTTTGGCGCCAAAGCCACCCTGGGCCTAAATCATAAAGGGCCTGTCGCATATGGGCCCAGAATGGAAGTAAAGACCTGCCTTATTTTAAATACATACCTAGTGGCAGAAGGGATGGCAGAGGATTAAGGAATGTAGTTAATAACAACTATACATATACTTATCAATAAGTTTATATAGATTTACTTTGCTGAATCTGTATAAATAATAACTTATTGAGAGGTGCATGTATATATTTATTAAGTTGATATTTGTATATAATCTTATTGTATATTAGTTTTTGTATATAGTTGAGTTTGATTTTTGTATGAAAAATTTGTGTTTTTTATATAAATACAATTTATTATTACAAAAAAATATTTGACTTTTGAGTTTTAACCCACCCTACCCAAGGTGTGAGGGGTGTAGAGTTTCTGAATAATACCCTCTTGCACCCTTTTCACACATTTATTCCTTAATCCTTTTTTTCTTTTGAATCAAAAGAATTTAGCATCAAAAGTTTTAATGTTAAGTTGCATGCATTTAGATATGAAGGTACAAAGTAATAATCTTGATATTGGGTCAGATGGTGCGCCCTTAGCCAAAAGGACTTCTAGCTTATCAACTTAAAGTATCCAAATCATATTTGATGTTACCCTGTTAGAATATATTTAAAAATAAATAAATAAATATTATAAATTTTGATTAAATAATATTTTCTTTTAAAAAATCTACATTTTTCAATAAAATAAAGGATTTTGTAGACACCCCTCAGCACTCTTTGTACATCCTTTGTATAAACATATTGCCCTTTGTTAAACCTATCTTTTGATACCAAGTTGTATTTATTTCGATAAGAATTGACCGAGACATTTTAAGTTAAAAAATATTTTATCTTAATACTTAATATTTGATTGCTGTTTCTTCATGAAATCCATATATCTAAAATTTGGTTCTCAAGATGCCATGACTTTTTCTAGGGTTGTTTAATTTTAATAATTTTTTCACCTTTAAAATACTGAATTGAAGACCTTTCCAATGATTTATAACTATCTAGTGTTATGTCAATTTAATATATATATATATATATATATATATATATATATATATATATATATATATATATATATATATATATATATATATATATATATATATATATATATATATATATATATAAACACACACAACTATAAGAGCACACTTAAGCAGTCTGGTATCATACTGAAATGAGAGCTGCAGGGTTTTTAGTACATACATTGACTGATGTTGGGAGAACATGCAATGGAGTTGCTGCTTCATTGAATGAGGGTTTGGGTGAAGGTAGTAATAAGTTTTTTTTATTATTCATTTTTTTCTTTTTTATGCAAAAGAAAACCATTGTTTTTTTGCATAAAAAAAACTATTGGTTTTTCAAAAGTGCCAATTTTGGTTGGCAAAAAAAGTCAATAAATTTATCAATGAAAAAATATAAAAAATATCTGCTGCATCCACCTTAATATGTTCTATATGATAATTTAACTATGGATTTAAAATTTTTTTGAATGAAAAATATTTTCAGGGGTGCTTTAAACATTTAATGTTAATAAAAAAAAGTTTTTCAAAAGTATGTTTTGTTGGATCTCAAATGAAGTTAAATTATATTAAAATTTCAAAAATAATATATATATATACACACACACACACACAATGTAATTATATTTCAAAAAAGAAAATTACAATTTATATGTTACTACAGCCCTGGCAATTTACTTGTGTCTATAACTGTAATAATCTGCATGTATAATTTAGGCTTTTATTTAAAATAAAAATGGTTTCAGCATTTCAGATACTTTGCAAGCGGTTGTCTTATTATTGCTTAGTCTTGGCATGTTCTGCAATGTATATTTTTAGTTATTTTGTTAACTTGGTACGGCTTTTTGTAAATGGAAAAAGATGTATAACGAAAAATCGTGCATCACCCCCATCCTGTTTAGTTAAACCTGAGTTAGGAGTTCATGGCTATTTGACTCTAAAAAATCGTAATGACTTAAAGATTCATTATGTTGCAAAAGGAAAACCAGGTAACCCATTAGTACTATTTCTGCATGGTTTTCCTGAGTTCTGGTATTCATGGCGCTTTCAGTTACAAGACCTTAGTGATGATCTTTATGTTATTGCTGTTGATATGACAGGTATTAAATTAAAATAGCAGGGTCTTTTTTTTACTTTTGCCCAATGTGTTTAATATGTATATGCATGCATGTATTATTAGTAGGGATTGTTTTATTTTAAACTCATGAAATATTATAGAGATAATTATAGCAAAATTGTGAATTTGTATTTGCAACTTGTTGTTGTAAATAAAATAACTTGTTTCATTTTTAATAGTTATAAAATGATTTTTTGATTCAGGCTATGGAGATTCAAGTAAGCCTCAAAATCTAGATAGATATCATGTTAATGAAATAGCTGAAGATATGAAAGAAGTTATTCTTGAATTGGGATACAATTCTTGTATTTTAGTTGGACATGATTGGGGTGGTGTTGTATCTTTTTCTGTGGCTCATAGTAAGTACCTTTAAATAGATTTCTACTTGAACAAAAGATAAATATAACTGTTTTACATCAAATATTTTTTAATTTTAGATTTTCCTGAGGTGGTTAATAAATTGGTTGTTGTAAATGTACCACACTCAAGAAGTTTTAAAAAAGCATCATTTAAACAATTGTGGTGCTTTACTTATATCTATTTCTTTCAGGTTATAATTTATTATTTATTTACAATACAATTTATAACTTTTTTTTTAAGTTTATTTTGATTAGGGTTTTCTTTATTTTTAAACAAATTAATCTCAATTATAATTTTAATTTTTCTTAATTATAAATTCTTAAATATTTCTATTTCTATTTGATTGAAATATATTTGCAGCTCCATGAACTTTTTTTTGGTTAATCACTGTTTTTTTGTAAAGTTAATTTACTAAAATAAATTTCATGAGAATCAAAAAAATATTCATGTAAAAAAACAAACTTAATTTACTGGTTATTTATTGTTTTTGTTTTTTTGTTGTTGTTTTTTTAAATTGATTCAAAGTTGATAACAAACAATATTTTAAAATATTAGAGTTTTAGCTAACATTTTATAATTCAAAGTTTGTAGTCTAATCAAAAACTATATATCAAGTTATATAATATACAATTTATATAATATAGTGGAAAACATGAAGGATTCATAAAGAGGGAGCAAGTAGTCATGTTTACACTATTCTATCACTATTCTGTGTGAGGAACACTCATGCGCAAAGGCTAACAACTAAGCTGTGTGAGAAACACTCATGCGCAAAGACTAACAACTAAGCGCTGTGGTAATGCCATTATAAGCTTTATTATAAAAAATTGATTTGTGTTTATTTGAAAAATAAACACAAATAAACACAGTTATTTTACAATTCATCTTTCAAAACATTCATAATGTAATATTTTGTCTTTATATTTATTATTATTATAATTCGACTAAGGTTTTTATTTAATATTTATTTCAATATTATCATATTAAATTATCACAACTAGTTTAAATATAAAACTCTGTATAGTTTTGCGTCGAAACTTCAACTGTAATTAAATTCAGCGCATTGGCTTTTAAGCGAGTATTCCTTGTGCGGAATTCTCTCAAGAGAATACTTTCGTTATAAGTTTTTGTGCAATTCGCAAAAGGGAATTGCTTGTTTTGCAATCGCTAATTGCTATTCTGAATTGTTTTGCGTAACAATCATTAAACCTTCCTTCTTTTAAAAATGCATTTCATAGTTAATGTAATGTTTTGGCTTCCTCGAAATTCTTCCTGATTGCGTGACAATAATGTTGTGGTCTAATGATTCATTTTGATTTGTATTTGGATCAATGTTTCTTATTTGACAGTTTTCTTTTACCTATGAGTATGTCTTTTGATTCATTCATATTACTTTCATTGTCCGATAAATTGACATCAATGATAAATTGACATTTTTTTTTTTATTTGCATTCACTCCCAACAAGGCTGCAAGCAACCACTATTAAGTTAGGAGTTATTACAAAAAAAAAGAACAGAGTTATAGAGCAAGGAAACAGTTGACAGAAGACTTGAAAAGTTAAAGGTTGTATGAGTCAGGAAAACATGAAGATGGGAGAGAGTTCCAAAGGATTGAAGTGCGGGGAAAAAAACTAGATGAATAAAAGTTTTTAGAGCATGCAGGGACAGATACAGTAAACGAATGAGACTTAGCTGAATGACAAGTAAAACAGAACGAAGGAAATGGCGAGCACGATAAAGAGAAGCCACCTTAGCAGAAGCTAATTTAGCAATCGATTGTATATATGGTTTCCATGAAAGGTCAGTAGTAAGCGATAATCCAAGAAGACGTAAAGAGATGGACTCAGTAAGAGGATTGCCATTCATTAATATAGGAATGTTAATTACATTTACGAGAATAGGAATGTTAATTACATTTACAAATGTTATTACATTTACGGCATGTTTGACCGAATGCAGGACAGTTTCTAGGTTCATGTTTTCTATTGCATTTCTTGCACTGTCTTTGTTGTTGTTTTTTATTTGAGCCATTATTGATTTGTTTTCAGTTTTGTTTGTTTGGTTCAACCCGGTCTTTGCCTTTTGACTCATTTTCATTATTCGAGAACTTTCTCCATTTTGGTATTTGTCCGATTGACGCATTTGCTTGTCTTGATTTTAAGAATTTCTTTACCACATCAATATCTTTTTCGTATGTAATTTTTTAAATTTCTGCATTTGCAACTTCTTCAGCTCTGCATATGTCAATTGCTTTAGTTGAAGTTAAATGCGCTCTTTTTTTAAGTAGATTATTTTGGACTTTGTTTGATTTGATTCTGTCAATTAATTTGTATAATATCAGACCATCTTGAATGTTTTCAAACTCGCATGTTTGAGCCAGATTTTTTAAATCAGTTACAAAGAAATCAAATGATTCATTGGCGTCTTGTTTTCGTAAAAAAAACTTTCTTCGTTACAAAACCAGATTTTTTTCAGTAAAGTGTATTCTTCGAATCTTTCAAAAAGTTCTTTTACAGTGATGTCATCAATTTCACGGTCGTCATTTTCTGTTTTGTTCCAAGTCCACGTATTGAATATTTCTCTTCCTTTTTCACCAATCACAAATAAGAATGTTGCATATTTTTCTTCCTCAGCTTTATTTGTCATTGCTACTTTTAGATAAAACTGCATAGTTTGTTTCCATTTTTTCCATGTTACAGCTATATTGGATTCATTGAAGTCCATTACGTTTGGCTTTGGCAAAAAGTGTTCCATTTTCTTTTTCTTTTTAAAGTAAATATTTTTCCAAAATCTCTTTATAAAATGTCTTCACCCCACTTCTGGTAGAATTCAACGATGGTTTTTATTTAATATTTATTTCAATATTATCGTATTAAATTATCACAACTAGTTTGAATATAAAATTCTGTATAGTTTTGCATCGAAAACTTCAACTGTAATTAAATTCAGCGCACTGGCTTTTAAGCGAGAATTCCTTGTGCGGAATTCTCTCAAGGGAATACTTTCATTATAAGTTTTTGTGTAATTCGCAAAAGGGAATTGCTTGTTTTGCAATTGCTAATTGTTGTTCTGAATTGTTTTGCGTAACAATCATTACACATAATAAAGTAAATATATAAATATTATGTTTTTAAATAAGTATCATAAAATTAATCTTTATATGACAAATAAATATATAAAGATTAATTTTGTGAAATCCTTATCCGTTATTTTTATTTTGAATTTATATGTTAATTGTTTTAGTTAGGGCACATTCGTACAGTTATAAGTAGAGAGGTTTTGGACTGTATAAATGAACCCCGCATGAGTTCAAAATGTTTCATTCATAAAAATGTTATTTTCAATAAAGAGATCATGCCATAAATATATATTAAAAAAGGCCCCAGAACAAAAGAGGTAGCAATAAAGCCTGTGATGAATGATATTTAAGAGAAATTAATAAAATTAAACTTTGTCTATTAGAAAATTAGCACAATAATATGGTATCAAAAATAAAAATAACACTTCAAAGTAGCTTAAATAATTTCCATAACTATTAACAACACCCTACTCCATAGCTACTAACACCCTGCTTCCAAAGCTAATAACAACACCCTGCTGCATGTGTTTACTTACTAAGTAAACACATGCAGCAGGAACTTACTAAGTTCACATCAAATCAAGTGTTCATTACCCAAGAAGAGACTATTAAATGAGTACATCGTTAAATATTCGGAAATGCATTATGGGTAATCGTAAAAGTTCAGAGACTAACATAGGAATATACAAATTTAAATCAACTACCTAACTGCCATCACAACCAAATGGCTGGAAAAGAATGGGTTGACAGTTATCTTAGGCAGTATGTTATCTTAGGCCTAAAGAAATCTAAAAACACAAGCGCAGCTTGTGGAAAAACCTAAAAAAAATTGATCAATTTGTTTCAGCAGAGAGGGGTAAGCACTTAAAATTCGGAGTAATTATATCAGCTAATTGTTAACACAATACCACTTTTATTTATTTTTACTAGAGGGTATTTCAAGGACCGCTTTATGAAGGATGCTCTAGAAGGCAGGCTTAGAAGGACAAAAAAACCAAGATATAAATATAAAAATAAAAATAAATGGCTAAGGAGCTAAAATGTAATTTAAATTTGCTATCAGATACAAATAAAGAAACCAAACTAAAGAAACAGAAGAATTAGATATTGAAATCGTAATTCTGGTTATGGCAGAAAGTAATAAAGTAAAAAGTTTTATAGTGGTTAAGTAAAAAAGGTTGTATTACATTATATCAGACAGATGGTAACCAAAATGCAACTCCAAGTAATAAATAAGTCCAAATAAAGTTTCATTTCTAAGAAAGAAGCCAGGTAGCTGGAAATTTGTTTTACATAATACCAAAGATAAAGAAATGGTTTACTTATAGGATGTGGTCTGTGTCTTGGTGCCACCCAAATGTGCTTTACAGGAAGATCTATATAACAGTAAAAAAGATTTTACAATGTGTAATGTGCAATAGTAGACCCGTTATGTGTCACATTATAACACATATTACCCTGATGGTTAATGTTGATTTAAATTTTAATAAGTTTTTTTTAAAACAATGTATTGTTGTTATTTCTAAAGTTTATTTATTTTTAATCTCATTAGATGTTTAATTTAAATAAATTACTTTTTCACTATGTAAGAATGTACCCTACTCTTTGTATGAAGTTACCCTGCGATGAAATACTTTTGTATGATCTCCATTTTTAGGAAGTTCATTATAACTTCGCTATGAAAGCCTTCCCAGGAAATGTGTGAGGTTATGCATCTTGTATGTTTATGCATGAATATTTTATTTTAGACAATTTGGTCATGGTCGTTTGCAAGTTTTTTTATATTAAACAATGCGGAAAAACTAAGTTTTAAAAACAAAGAAAGCAAAACTAAAAAAATAGGAATTTATAGTAAATATAAATAGAAAAAAATAATAATTTAAATAGTTTGTGTATTGTTTTTATTTTTGTTTTTTTAGAGTAGTTGTTATTTTCAGCAACAAAATTGGATAAGGCAAAGCAAAAAAAAAAAAATTCAAGTCCACATTAACAAAATGATTTTCCTATATATTTTTTTTTTTTTCAAATGAGGAAAGCGAAAATATAAATTACTATCCATTTGTAAAATATATTTGTATAATTTTAACATAACAAGTATATATTGTCCTTATATGAAAACGTCTATGTAACACATGCAAATACTTTTATGTATAACTTTTTTATTAAATAATTACATTTATTTGTTCATAAGTATATGCACGTTTAACTTATATACGTAAAACTTCATACTCGGAATTCCGTGGTTCGAATCTCACCTATTCTATAATTTTATTTTGGTTTCCTACCTGCCCTCTCTTTTTTGGTCTACTATGTTATTGGTGAAATATACGTAAACAGTTAATAACAATTATTATTAATAGTTGCATAACAGTTAGTAATAGTTATTATTAATAATTGTTCACCGATAACATTGTAGACCAAAAGGAAGGAGTTCAGTAGAACTAAATGCTCAGTGTTAAAAAATAACACCCAAATCCAAAATTACTGGTCAATCCAACCATGACCAGCAAGAATTTATTTTTTGAAGTTCAAATTAGCCATTTTTCATTGATCATTGACTCTCTTTGTTTTTTCCCTGAGTAATAATTTTTTTTTTTTTTTTGCAAGTTGACTAATAGTATTTCATTTGATATCTTTAAACTATCAAGCCCAAAGCATTATTTAAATTTAATAAATAATATATGAGTTGCTTAAACTTAGTGTTTCTAATAGATTTGGGAAACTTGGTGTTTCCAATTGTCGTACTGTCGTACAACAGTTGCACAACAAATTTGTTTTACAATGGAAGTGTAAGTTGTGCAACTTAGTGTTGGTTGTTTAATGAATTTCATGCTGTAAAACAATTGTTGTGGAAATAAAAAAAATTGGTTCCTGCAAAAGTTGCTGTACAACAAAGTTACACAACTATTTCACATTATTTCTGCAATTATTTTAAACCAAGCTGTAGTAATTTTAATGAAGCCAATGATTCAGCAAACAATATCCCTGGCTTCAACAAAAATTTCAGTTACTAGTAATAACTAAAATTAAGAATAATTTTTAATTGGTTCCCAGTTAGGTATTCCGTTTTCACAGTAACAAGGCCTGCATTATAGGTTGCTGTTGTGCAATGAACTGCAACAATTAAAAGAAATGTTGAATAAAGTAAATTGTACAAGTGATGTAAATAATAAACTTTAAAAACTGTATAGAAAAAAACCATCTAAGATTAAGTATTTAAATAGGATTTTGAATTAAGAATTATTATAGTGATAAAAAAGAAAAAAATAATAAATTTATCTTCTTTCTTTTTTTTAGTTGCCGTTTATTCCTGAGTGGATTCTTTCATCAAATGACTTTTCTTTATTGAACTACATAAAAAGCATGGCAAACTCTAATAACTTCACTGCTTCTGATCTTGAAGCATACAAGTATTGTTTTCAGAAAGGTAAATAAGAACAAAAATAGTAATCCCATTAGTTTCATAATCCCATTAGTTTCCAATTTTGTTTTCTGTTATATGATATACTCATAATATGTATCTTTATATGTGTTTATTTATAATGATTTATATATTGTTCCTGAAAATTAATGATAAAGTTATAGAAATCTATACTTTTATTGTATATATACTGGTATAATTTATGAATGCTTTTGTTAAAAATACCTGGCAATGGTGCTACTTGCGCGATTGGCAAGTATTTTTATACTGCTGACAGTACAAAAAATTGGAAAGTTATTTTTACTCAATTTTGCTGAATTTTGTTGAATTTTGCTGAATTTTTTTATATTATAAAAATTAATGAATAATAATAATTCAGTTGCCAATTTTTCTGCCCAAAATAACAAATTTTCTATTAGATGCAAGTCCAGACTTTGAGATGGCCATTCTAAAACATTGATGTTATTTGTGGCAAAGTATATCTTTGTTTTCTCAATTTTTAAGAAGCATAGTTTGATTGGAAACGTTGCTAGTATGGCTGGTAGAGGATGAAAATGCAAGACCGTTAGTGTAATTGATCACAGTATCATCAATAATGTGAAGAAAAATAGATTTGTTTAAAAAAATTTTAATTGACGTTTTAATTAAGACCATTAATTATTTTATTTTAAAGTAAGAAAAAAAAAGCTAGAAAACAAGGAGGGCAACAAGGAAGTTTTCTATTAAATCGTATAAACAGTTTGCAACGTGCTTCCATAAGAATTATGAAATTTTCTCCTATTCAATCTAATATCCAAAAAAGGTTTTCTCCATTAAAAATCTTACAATTTCAAGATCTTATAAAGCTTTACAACTGTCTTTTTGTGTTTGATTTCCTCCAAAATAATCTGCCGGTTTCGTTTAACAGTTTTTTCATTAAAGCAAGTGATACACATAAATACAATACTCGTATTACTATAAATGGTAATTATCACCCTTCTTTTTTCAATACTGTCAAGTATGGCAAGCTCTCCATAAAACATCAATGTATTTCTCACTGGAACCAATTAATACCTTTTATAAAAAAAAAGATTTTAACTAAATACCCTTTTGTTACTAACTTTCTTCTTCTCAACAGAAACCTAATTAAAAAATTTTTATGTGAGCATCTTTTATTATTATTCCTTCAATATATTATTTAATTAATTACACTTATTTTTATTTATTTTTTATTGTTATTATTATTCTTTACATTGCTACTACTACTATTTTTATTATTGTTATTACTATTATTATTTATATATCTTTGTTTTTGTTTCCTTAATATTATTACCTATAATAATAGTCAAAGTAGTTCAGTAGTTGCAGTAGCTTTATCATTATTGTTATAACTATTCTTTAAATTGTTTATTTTATAAATATTAACTATACTATAATTATCTATCTATTGCTTTATCATTTATAATTCTTTTTACGTTGTTATATTGCAGTTATTATTTTTTATATTATTTTTATTCATATTATTGTTACTATTATTATTTTTATAAATATTTTTACTTTTAACTTTTTTTTTTTTTTTTTTTTTTTAAATCTCCTTTATTGTAATTGTTGCTTATTTTTCTTTCCTTTTTTTTTTTTCTTTTTTTTTTAGGTGTCACTCCATTGACTAGTTTTCAACTATATAATAATAATAATAATAATAATAGCAATAATAATAATAATAATAATAATTAATGCTGTTGAGATAAAGCGCCAGGCAATATCTATGACAGCCGTATAAATTACTTAATGAACAAGTTCAGTCACTAAATAAAAGCGTTAATAATAAGCTTTCTTGGTTTTTATCTTGTTTGTTTTTGCTTCTAAGTCGACCGATTGCAAGTTTAATTTGAAGCTTTTAACTGTGTGACATATGAGTGACACCTAACCTTATTTATGTAAATTTATAATTTATCATTGTAAATTTTCATAATTTATGGTTAAATAAATGGAGAAAAAAAAGAATAATATGAAAATGTTAGTAAAGATAAACATGTCAAAATTACTTATTTTTAATGTAATTAACAAACCATTTATTTTAGCGCTATAAAATAATATATTTTTTTGACAATTTGACCATGGTTTATAGCATTTTTAAAAATTAAAAATGCTATAAACCATGGTCAAATTGTCAAAAAAATATATTATTTTTGTTGTCACAAAAGGCTTATTCTTGCACAACTTCCTGACCAAGCCTGGTTTAAAAAATTGAGAAATACAGAATTTTTTCAAATTCAGCATTTCTCAATACGTTTCACCAACGTCAATTAGTGTGTTTTCTGCATCATCTTCAAATAATATAAGATCTAAGAATTTTTTAGGCATGTTCACCACACCAAACATTTACTTATAGAGGGTGTAGACAGTGTTGGTGGGCTATTCTTGAATTTTCCATACCCCAAAATCGGATACATTTTTTGTTAAAATACTATTTAGGTTTAAGTAGTCCTCATTGCCCATTAAAAAGTTGTTAATGATCTCAGTTTCTTGCCTTGTCAATTTTTGATAATGAATAGCTAATGCTAATCGTGCCTGATAATCTACTGGTACCTACATCTTCAGTTCCCTTCACATGCTAAATCAATCACAGAATTGTGAATTTGAAACCGCAAGACAAAGCTGTTATTTGTGTTATAAGCTGTTACTTGTATTGTGGTTTTTTAACTCCAAAATGACAAGTATAAGCTTTTTGCATTAGCACAATTGGTTGTCTGTTTTCCAGATAAAATTTGATTATTTTAACTTGTTGTTCAATCATGAATTTTTCCATATTACCAATATGTATATATGTATAATAATAATAATATGTATATATGTATAGTAATAATAGTATGTATATATGTATAATAATAATAGTATGTATATATGTAAAATAATAATAATATGTATATATGTATAATAATAATAATAATAATATATTATAATAGGCCACCCTGTGCATCTTTAAAACTGGTTTGTAATGTTACCAGTTAACAAATTTATTTTTATTTGTAAAATTCCAGTTTCTCTTTAACTAATGATTAATACAGTAAATATTGCATTATATTAAGTTTACTTAATTAAACCCATGTTTCAACAGTAGGCAAACTAATGACAATAGAAGGCAAACTAATAACAAAGACAAATACAAATTAAAATAAAATTGTGTTTGAACTTATAAATAACTGTAACATTAGTTAAATTTAAAATTGTTATAAATAGCTTTGATGAAAAAATTAAATTCAATTTGATGTTGAAGTTAATAATAAAACTAGTACTTCTTTAATAAATATGTTTTGATCATAGTCTTCGTAGAAACTTTAAATAGGTTCTTCATTTATCAGTTATGATAACATAGAATATCTGAAAATAATTTTAGAAACGGAAAGCAGTATAATGAAAATTATATAGGTTTAAAGTTGTATTTCAATTAGAATATAAAAACAACACCTATTTTCTTTGGTTGATGATGCTGAAAGGGAAACCAAATAAAAATTTTGTATTAATAAAAATTTATAAACAATTTTATCATAAAATATAAATTAAGAATGGTAATATTATATTTGTTGCTTTTGTTCAATAGTATTTATTGTTTTTTTGTTCAAATTTATATAAAATTCACAATAAAATATACAATTTTTAAACAATATAAACATTAACACTTATTACAAAAACATTTCAAAATATGTTTTCGGCGCTCTTTTTAATTTTAATTTTTTTTTTTGCAACAACTGTGCTTTTTAAAAAGCATTGCAGTATTTTATGTAATGAATTTTTTTTAAATGACATTGTGTCTTTTATTTTAGTTACAACAATTATACTTTCATAAGAAAAGTTATAATTTTGTGAGAGCCGTAAATTGCTCCCATAAACTGTTTTAAGGGAGTGTGGGCCAGAGCGAAAGCTAAAACTCTCGCTTTCCGCCGAGGCCTATATATATATATATATATATATATATATATATATATATATATATATATATATATATATATATATATATATATATATACACATTTTTTTTATTATTATTTATTTTAGTTTTTAATATAAATACATAAATAAAATTCTAACTTTAAATAAAACTGAATAATAAACTTACTTAAATCTTACTTAAGAATATGAAGACTAATTTAAGTAAACTGTTGAAAAAAGTTAATTTTGTTAATCCTTCTAATATTAAACAAAACAAAACAAAAACAGTAAGTTAAATTGAACTAAATAAAAATTGCTTCAGTTCTTTTTAATTACTTTATAAAATAAAATGAAACTTGCTATGCTAGCAACCAAAAGTGTTTTAAAAAAAGCTTAAGAAAAACACTAAACCAAAAAAAATAGCACTGTACCAAAGAAAACTACTTTATCAGTCATTTCCAACTTCTTAAGAATCTAAATAGTAAATTAAAAAACAAACAATAAAAACAACAACAAGCGTTTATTTATTAAATCTACTAATATTAATTGTAAAATTAAACAAAGAACAACAACAATTCTCAATGAAAGAAAGATTTTCAGTTCTAGTTTACTTTTAAATAATTTTAGATTTTATGTTACATTTTTTCAAATCTGCCTTGATAATAATAAATGGCACACTGATTATTTATTGATTTCCTGTATGAGTTCAAAATACATCCCTCTCAAAAAGCCCTTATACACACCATACTAGATAGCAGCGCGAAACCCATATGCTACCGTATATTGTGTTAGGCTGGGCAGCCATCTTTTCTTAAGTAATATCTTTTTTAAAATCTGCCTCATTATCAAATAATAGTGCTTCGCTTTTATTGCTTTCCCATATGGGTAACATACCTATACCTCAAAAAAAATCTTATGTATCACATACCAGATAACCAGACAAATTCCATGGGGTATTTGTCTGGTTATCTGGTATGTATATTTATTGGTTGGTTGGGAATGTACAGTATATAACATTATTATTAACAAGGAAATTGTTTTTTAGCAAATCATCTAGTCTCTATAAAATTTTGATAAAATAAACTGTGCATAAAACA